CCCACCACCGACTTTCCTGTTAGGATGCAAGACCCATTTTGACTTTGCGATGTCCTACAGATATGAAAGATGCTATATAAATGTAACTTGTTGTTGATTAGTTTAGGTCTTCGGATTATTAGTGACAGGGTGATAAGGGTACTATTTGTTGCTCAGTGCGTGATAACATGTAACATGCAGGTAAAAGGGAACCACAGTTGTTGAAATTTGGCCTGCTATATCCACAAAAAGTGCAGTAAAAGTTTTATTTCATGATCACTATCTGAACAATACAAATCGCGGAATACAATATTGAAATGTAACTGTGGTATTTATTACCATTCTTACAACTGCAAAACTAGCTATTCTTATATTCCATTTAGTCAACCTCCAACTGGATGGCTTCAGTTTTATGGCTGCTGATAACTCAGTGTCAATGTATGAAATTGTGCCAATCGGCATTCCTGTGAGCCGCATTATTTTGGGAACAAGGTTCATTCATCCAATCTGTCAGCAGTCTTCCTTTGGTTCTTAGTCAATGTTCCGAAAAAAACAATATTCCGAATGGCTTCAGCCCCTGGCACTAATTTTGTGTCTCTGTGAACAAAAATCAAGGTTAGGTTTAAGAATTAATGTTGTGTGAAAAAATATGATTCAGATTGTGGAAAAACATGCCTAAAGCCAGCAGCATGACAGGCTGGAGAAATTACTAATGTTTCAAGAAGCTACAGCATGGTGTGACAGGATGTGGTTTTGTACCTGTGAAACCCTAAATGATGAGTTTTTAATCTCAGACCGGCTGCTGAAAACACTACCTGGAGACACAGGCTTCCCACTGAAAAGGGAAAACGTCCCTGCCAGTCTGTTCTTACATACTTAATCATCTGTCAGTTACAGTATTGGCGTGGTTTGGAAGCGTATTATCTGTCTGCCCTTTCACTTGAGAATGGCAGAAGGCTGGGGAAGGAGGGTAGAAAGTGAAACAAGGCAGGAAAAAAAACTATGGTTCACTTCTATATTCTACTTTAGAGGATCAAAGAAAGCATTTGTTCTCAATTGATACACATAACAAAGTGCAATTCTAATACTCACTGCGAGGTGCCAAAAAAGTTGTGCAAAATAATATTTTGAACTTAAACTGCATCGTGATATTTTTCAAGCAAAAAAGCCAATTTTAGACGTTAATTCACTTGAGGGCTTTCACATGTCATGTTGGCCTCCACAACCAGCCATCTATTCTGCAGCTCCGACTGGCCTATTTAATGCACTTTCCCCCAAGGCTCAGTAGGGAATTGCATGGACTGGGACTGAGCTGTAAAAATCAACTAAACCACAGGTTTAATCTCTGTCCTGCCCCAAATTAGTCAATGTCAGAAAAAGTAGCAGTGGGATTACCTAAATTTGCCACTGAGAAGGAATGAATCAGTGATGCCTTGCGGGTCAGTGTACGTTGGGTGTGCTGGAAAAACTGTAAATCAAACTGGTATGTCAAGAGAGTGTCATTACATTTAACAGTGTTACATCACCACTGCTTTTTTTTAAATAAGGGAGGGTCTAGCTCATTTTAGGGTCAATTTAGCAATGCATGCAATATTTATCATACTGAACCCACCTGACTGTGTTGAAGACCAAATTTCACCCGGTGCTTCTCAAATATGATTCTTAATAACGTAAGAACATAAGAATTGCTAGGTGAAAGAAGACCAAGGTCCATCTAGTTTGCTATCCACCACTCTGGCAATCTCATGCACATTTCATGTCCCAAACTTTGTGCTATAACCCAAGATATTATTTCCTCAAAAAAATGTAATTCGATTTTGAAAGAATCAACACTTTCTGTGTCTGCCATCTCCCTAGGAGCCTGTTCCATAAATTTACTACTCTATGTCCATGAAGCTGCGCCATGCTGGACTTCTGGCTCGCAGCTTTGAAAGTCCAAGTTACAATGAAACTCCACTATTGGGGTTCCACAATGATAGCCGGTCACTGTAAAGCAAACTGAATTAAATTAAAATCGATCACTGCAAATTAGCCTTGAAGGAGGATCGGAAACTGGGATTGATAAAATTACTGGCTGGTTTCTCTGAATTGGTTCTGACCTGCGGTCCTCTCTCTATCCATTCAAGCATGAATCTTTTAGTTTAGTTTGTTTAGAAAAAATAATAATCCTTGCAATTGATATAGCATCTTGTCACGTGTTCGAAACATCTCAAAGCGCTTCACAGAACATACTGTAAAGTGAATTGACTGTATATTTTGTGGGCGAAAGTGATCAAGCATTTTGAGAGTGTGTTTAGAGGAATATAATCTGGAAAGTATTTTTGCTCCCCACAATGTAAAAGATAACTACTTTGTTTGTGGAAATTTTAATTTATTACTCCACTTGAATTTTTTAAAAAAAGTTCAAGTAACGATTTTAGCGATTGATAAGTTGCACTGTAGTGAGGCTTGAGTCAACTTGACTTTACTGTTGTGTTTGATTACATTTTAAATGATGAGTGCACTTTACTCACTTTTTAAATGATCAAATCTTACGCCTCAATTACACCAACATGTGAACAGATGTTGCATGTGATCGGACCTGAAAATGCATCATTCCAGCAGCCCACACATGCTTGCTACAGGCAAGTACGACTGCACAGTTCAACAAACACAGTCAACAAAACACTCACAAATGATATAACCCCATTCCAGTGACGTGGAACAAATCTAATTTAGTCCAAAATCAACATACCATAAAACTGGTTCATAAAACTGGGAAATGAGGGAAAGAGCACAAAGCATGCATTGATACATCAAGCACTTCCTGGGACCTAAAGTACTTAATTTGCAAATATTTAAACTGTAATTTCCGTAATAGCAAAGTAAATATCAGAACTACTGCTCACAGTGTAAGTAACTGACATTTCACAAGCAGTGGTAGAATTGCATAAATGGCCAAACAGTGAGAGATTTTCCACCTGATCAACAGTAGGATTCATAGATGAAATAACTAACCAAAACAGTGCTGAAATTCTCACATAAACAAAAATGATTTATTTGATAGGTTTCAAAACTATAATTTCCAATTATCACAGGCTTTTAAGGTGTTTATGCTTCATTATGATTTTGCAAATTCAACACATAGTCAGCCAAACTGTCAGTTACACATTTTTTCCAATTACCGTTCTTCCCTTGCTGATTTTAATCACTCTAGTCAATGAATATAATTACCTAGATGTGCTGGCCTATTTCTTCCAGTGCAGATTCTTCTCCTTAAACAGAAGCAAGGCTAAAATAAGGATGGTGATGACAGTGGACGTTTATATAACGCAAGTAACATCACACAGCTCTAAACTGAATGTGGTTGGAATATATGAACATGCAAGGCCTTGTGCTGGAAACGGAACTAAAAGGTAAATAAAAACACAAGGTAATGGCCAATTGCTTTCACTCTTATTACCCAAAGCTCCCTATCACAGCACAGTCCATCAGTTTCCACATACGATTGAAGATATAAAATTAAGCATTATTACATTCCTAATATGATCCAGAAACACACAGTGATTTGTTACAGGAATATCTTTAAGTTCAGAGTTTTTGAGAACAGGTGAATAGCTTATTGTCAAAAACCTTAAGGATATTCATTCCATTATACCCTGTATGTTCAGACACCAGTAAAATCAAAGGTTCTAAGCAGCTTTTAAGACCAATCATTAACTGTTCCCTTGAAGTGTTCAGAAAAGAATAAAGGATTCAGGCACCATGAACACAAGGATCAAGCAATAATGCAACCTGACATGGAGTTCATATCCACTCATTTCTCCTTGCTCCATTGCCCTAGTGATGCAGATTCTAGAGGCTAGTCACATTGCAATTCAACCAACATTCAAGGAATGCAAGTTATGTGAGCCTTTGGACTATCAAATCCAAATCTATATTTCATTGACATGCAAGGAGATTTAAGAATGGTTCCAATAGGATGAGGCAAAGTCTGGTCAACCATACTTAAAATTCAAGGTTCGTTGAGTTTTGATTTCACAAGGCACAATGCATTCCTTCACTTAATTGCTATTATCTGTTAACAACAAAAACAAATTGCATTTATATAGCACCTTACACGTCCCAAGGCTCTGTACGATTCAAGTGTTATAATAATAATAATCGTTGCATTTGATATAGCGTTTTTCACATCGTCGAGATGTCTCAAAGCCTTCATAGAATATACTGTAAAGTGAACTGACTGTACATTTGTGTGTGAAATGTGGCAGCCAATTGAGCACAGCGGTGTCCGACAAGCTGTCGTGGATTGAAGTGACCAATTTTTTTTATTATTATTGTTTTTTTTTCTTGAGGGATTACTATCAGGCATGTGGAGTAAAGAAACTTGCCCAAGGTTTTGCCCTGCTGCGTGCTATAGGCGAGTGCTCTAACCACTGAGCTACAGAACTCAAGTGTTTTATAAAATTCTCACAGAAGCCAGTAAATCCCCTTCCACATTCCCTTTCCCACCAACACATTCATTCTGTTTCTGAAAATAAAAAGTGAAAATCAATTCTTCAAGATGTACCTATCTGCATGAATCTAAACGTGTTGTTTATCATTCCCTCGCTAAACTTGATACCTCGGCCCTTGTTGTGACTTGATGATCATTAAATATCAAACATCTGGAAAATTCCAATATAATTCACTGTGCTTTGTAAGTGCTTCAAGTCTCTCTCTATCCTACATAAAATGTACTATATGTTAATGTTCTTGTTGCACAATCACCCATTACCTGCCAAGATATCTTAGGCTTAGGCCAAACTTGTGGTGTCGTTCTAAGCCACAAGAAAACAAACTCAGCCAAGTTGCACAAGGACTTAAACATCCCTGGGCCAGGGAGAAAAACAAAAATGAAACAGTTCAGATTCATGCTGATCAGCTGTCAGACACCTCTATGAAAATACCCATATGTTCCTGCCAGCTAAGGACAGAGGTGGACTTGGATGTAATGACCCCCACAATTAAACAACCAACTGACGTTCACCATCTTGACTCACCCATGAATGGCCACTTGTACAAGTTAGTGGAGGACTGCTGCCATTTTCAGGAAAGGAGGAACAGGAGAGAAAAGGAAGAGAACAATTTCAGGGCACTACTGAAATAAAATGGTGATGCATGACATCAGTGCTCTAATGTACAGTAGAACAAAGTGCCCAGGACACATGATTTCCCCTTAAACAGCAATTTCCAAATTTCATGTCTGTCAGTGGTAGACACTGAAAGTAGGAACATTTCACAGGAAAGGACAATGAAAGAGGCATTATTCCAGCTCACACTGGTGAATAATGCCAGCTGCATTGATATTGTACAGGTTCCTTCACTGCCATGTACCAGGTCAAAACCAACTGGCTATTCTGAGTTCTGATGCGAGCAGCTTGCCAAGAAGAGTATTCTGCTTTAGGGTGCTGAGCAGCAGATCAGTGAAGGCCAGAGCTCTCTCCCTGCAGCCACTTTACCCTTTTACCTCAAATCCACCTCACAGCTTGATCCTGGACTTCACAAATGGGCTAAAGGAAACTATTCTGCTGCATGCCCAGGACCTCTGAACCCCAAAGACATACACTCTATAAACCATAGGTGTTACAACAAGATAGTTTGGGATTTGACTTAACAGAAAACGTTGTACACCTGGAATGCCCCAGGTGGCTATGGGTGAGTCCACAAGAGCTCGGTTTAGTGTCTCAGTCAAGGAACGACACTTCGAACAATGCAGTGCTCCCCCACAATGTATTAGAGTATTAGCCTAGATCATGGGTTCAAAGTCCTGATGCGAGCTTGAATCTGTAGCCTTCGGACAAAGGCGAGAGTACTATCCACTGAACCAGGAATGTAACCAGTTAAAGCTGTGTAGCCTATCAATTTGAAGATATTAATTAGATTCTCATTGCTTGTCAAACTTGAATTATCTCTACCCATTATCAGGAGCTGAATGCAAATACAGTCAAACCTGTTAAAGGATTCCATCTATATTCAGCGACCACCTGCTGTCAACAACCACCCTGGTCCCGACTGATTTTTCCCGACTGATTTTTCATAATAATAATAATAAACTACTTCTCTTCAGCAACTATCTGTCTAATGCAACCAGTGGGCATTCTTTTTTCAGCTGCCAGGTTCCAAGTGAATTTAATAGCATGTCCAATTCTATTATTGGCTCGTCCAATTTGATCACTCTTCTTCTTCCTCAATTCTTTCTTCTGATTCTCTTTGCGAATCGATCTCCATTTATACAGATCGTTAGATGACCTTTCACTTATTGTCTTTTGCAAGATGGTTTCTTTGTAAAAAGTTACAATAGGATTTCTCTCCGACTGCAGACCATTTTTCCATGAGAAAATGACTGATAAGACCTGAGAACAGTTTGTTGTTTATAAACAGTCTTTTGTTTCTTCTGCAAAGCTAATCACAACCAACTCCCATCATATGAGATTGATCATATATCTCAAAAATATAAACATTACAAATATAATTTGACATATTATTTAACACATTAATTACAGAATCTTACACCATCCTTACAAAAGGCTACTTTGGTCCAGTCCTCTGAGTGGCTGCTAAAAACAGGTTTGACTGTAATTCAGATTTTAGTGCCATGTCCATCCCCAACAAGTCCCAACTCCCATTTCCCGGTGTCCTGACCAAGAATCCCCCAAATAAAATTGGTCATTCAGTTCATGCCTGTTTTGGGCTGGGATATTGCTGGCACAAATTGGTTTGTCTCATTTTCCTCCAAAACATACAGTCACTATACATTAGCAATGGTGTAACAAGAAGATGGTAGATACATTACAGTATCCTGAAAGGCTTTGAAACATCTTCCTAATGTGAAACAACAACAACAAAATTACATTTGTATAGCACCTTTCATGTCGGGAGGATGTCCCAAGGCGCTGGACAGTCAGTGTTTCGGACCCGAGCCGGGGGTCGGGATTACGGAACGTGAAAGGCAGGGGGGGAAGGAGGGTGATCAAAGGCAATGTCAAAGAGGAGGGTCTTGTGATGGGTCATGGGAGGGGGTGAGGTGGAAGGACTGTGGGATGGAGTTCCAGAGGGTGGGTGCAGAATGGCTGATGGCCGTCCGCCAATGTTGAAAGGTGCTATACCAAATATTAGGATTATAATTATTAGAGCATTATAAAAGAGCAGTCTGGCACCAACTTTAAAACATAAGATAGCATTTAATTATGGTGTGTATTAATGAAAATAGGTAATCAATCCTGTCAGATGTAGAAAACTAAATAATAATAAGATATTCAGGTACAAAAAACTTGTCCAAAAGGAGTTAGTTTTGCATGCAGTTTGGCAGCATTTTAAAATTTACCAAGTATCACAGTCTGGCAATGTCATTGTTATTTGTTAGAGTGCTTTATAGCCTTGTTGAAAGCAATATATTGTTGAGATATTTGGTTTCAACTCCCCTCTTTTTTTATTTTTGTCTTTGTTGAGCAACCATTCCATATCAGCTCTGTACATGTCCTGAAGTGAGTCTGCACTACAATTAAATTTTTCATTCCTCAGATAAAATGTCAATAATACTCCACGGCAATGAATTATTTCTTCAATTACCGTCAAGCATTCAATTTCCAATATTTCACTTCCATCTACATTCTAATGGTACATGACCACTGTGTGATAAAAAGCAAATAGGCAACACAAAGGCAAGAATTTCTCTTTAAACATCTTCCTGTATTGTGAATTTATGTTAGAATAAATAAAATAATCATTGCATTTGATTTGCAAGGTTTCAACAGGCGAGATAGGGAAAAGCTGTTTCCGCTGGTAGGTGTGTCTGTGACTCGTGGTCACAGTCTTAAAATATCTACCAAAAGAAGCAGAGGGGAGGTTAGAAGAATTTTTTTCACTCAGCGAGTTGTTAGAATTTGGAATGATCTGCCTGAAAGGGCAGTGAAGTCCGATTCAATAACAGCTTTTAAGAGAGAACTGGATAGGTATCTGGAGAAGACAGGTTTGCAGGGTTATGGGGAGAAAGCTGGTGAGTGGGGTTAATAAAAGTCAGTTGCTCTGTCAAAGGGCCGGCACAGACTCGATGGGCTGAATGGCCTCCTTCTGTGCCGTAACATTCTATGATTCTATGATATAGAGCCTTTCATGTAATAATAATAATAATAATAATAATCCTTGCATTTGATATAGCGCTTTTCACGTCGGGAGGACGTCCCAAAGCGCTTCACAGAACACACTGTAAAGTGAATTGACTGTACATTTGTGGGCGAACGCGGCAGCCAATTGCGCACAGCAATGTCCCACAAACAGTCGTAGATTGAAATGACCAATTTAATATTGTTTTGTTTTGGAGGGATTATTATTAGGCTCTGTGTGGAGTAAGGAAACTTGCCCAAGGTTTCGCCCTCTGCCTGGAATTGAACTCAGGTCTCTCGCTTGCAAAGCGAGTGCTCTAACCACTGAGCTACAGGACTCCAAACAGAATTAAACATCTTACCTTGCCATGTTTAACAGAATTTTACAAGTGTAGTGACTTGCAGACATTTACGACAGCCCGTTTGCACATAGCAATATTCCACAAACAGAATTTATTTAGGGGATTGTTGGCCAAGAGACACTTGCTTCCTTTATTGAATAGTGTCACAGGATCTTTAACATCCACCTGAACAGGCAGATGGGACCTCGGTTTAACGTCTCATACGAAGGACAGCAATTCCAACATTGCAGCGCTCCCCCACCATTATATTTGAGTCCAGCCTGTTCTGTACTCAAGTTCCTGATATGCGTTCTGTCCTGATCTTGTTCTTCATTTGTTCCTGAGGGAACCTAGAGAGTGTCTCTTTTGTATGTCACAACATAAAATGCATGTAAGAAACAGATTGGTGTAACAAGAAGATGGTAGATTTGGCATTCTGAAAGGATGAGATTAAATGGGCTGAAAGGCTTTCCTTCGCCTTCTTCACTCAAACTTTTCTCGTGATTGTGTGAAGCTCAGCATGCACCAAACCCACTGTACAGACTATTAACTATAAGTTTGTCTCCATCTTCTGCCTGTTGGTAACTCTGTGCATTGCAATCTCCTCTTTTAAATGTAGTGTATGAATGGGCAAAGTTGGATTTCATTAATACATGGGGTTTGCTTCTCAAATCAGGGTCACCACCTTTGTCTGAATCTCAATTAGCAGGATGGGGGGGTGGGGGGGATGGGGGGGGTTGGGTGAGTGGGAGGGTCAAGATAGATCAAGTTTGCTTTCCCACAAATCTGTGATTAAAACATATTGAAAACCCTACGAGCTACAGTTACAAATGCAACCATATCATAAAACAGGACTGGAAGTGGAAAACATCTTTCATTTTGAAAAGGAGACTTTTAGTGCCTTGGTTTACATTTTAGAAATTTGTTCACAATATCCTCTAAGATGGATTGAGGTAATGTCCAAATCGAACCTGAATTAGTGATGATCCTGCCTCAACTAAAATGAGATCAAGGTAAATATACAACAATAATAACAAATTATACTTGTATAGCGCCTTTCACCTCAAGAGGATGTCCCAAAGTCAGGGATCCGCACCCGAGCTGGTGGTTGGGATCAGGAGGGGTGGAGGGTGGGGACAGTGGGGATAGGACGGTGACCAAAGGCATGGTCAATGAGGAGGGTCCTTAAATGGGTCTTGAAATAGGCAAGGAAGGGGGCGAGGCGGAGGGACTGTGGGATGGAGGTCACAGAGGTAGGGAGAAACAAGGCTGTGGAGGGCTTTGAATGTTAGGACCAGGATCTTGAAATGTATCCTCTGAGTGACAGGCAGCCAGTGGAGCCAGGTGAGGATAAGGGTGATAGGGTCATGCAGTCTGGTGCGGGACCCTATCATAGAGAGCTCTGGGGTAGGTTAGTCACCTTTCATAGCATTTGAAGAGTAATTCCACACTTAATCTCAGTTGCTGGAAAACACATTAAATTCAAGGAAGTGGGAAGGGCAAATAAATTCTATTTTTGATGGTAGATTATAGACTAGGACACCAAGAATTGCTGATGGACATCGCCATGCTAAACATGTGAGCAAGAGACCTGTCAGAGCAGAGCTTTCGTCTCAGGCGTATAAAGAACAGCCTCCAGCAGCAGTGAAGAAAATTTAAGTTTGAAGTAGTTTGAATGTACCTTGCTGTACAATTTTTATTCCTAACCTCAATGTTAGACCTTAAGGAATACTTTGGTACATCTTTCTGGAAATTGAGCCTCCTTAATTCACAGGGATACTGAAGTCTGAGTGGATGAATAATAATAATAATCCTTGCATTTGATATAGACGTGATATTATCACGTCTTCGAGACGTCTAAAAGCGCTTCACTGAATATACTGTAAAGTGAATTGACTGTATATTTTGTGGGTGAAATGCGGTAGCCTATTGCACACAGCAGTGTCCCACAAACAGTCATGCATTGAGTGACAAAATTATCACTATATATTTTTTTAAAAATTTGAACAACCCAGGTTCCAACTTACTGCTAGGTAAACAGTAACCACGGAGCTCCACTAAATCTCAGTAAACTCCTGAAAGTTATGTTCCTTTCTATTCAGTCAATGCGCTTTCTGAAACAGCACCAAACAATGCAGAGTAAAGACTAGTACCACTTCCAGGATTACTTTGTGTAAGATAAATATAAATAATAATTATCCTTGCATTTGGTATAGCACATCCTGGGCATTTTCCCCATGAAATTGTTGGATATTATTCCTACATAGAGTTACATAGAGTGGTAAGGTATGGAAACAGGCCATTCAATTCAACTAGTCTGTGTTGGTATTTGTACTCCACCCCTCCTACAACAACAACTTGCATTTATGTAGCTCCCTTCACGTGGGGTAGTGTCAGTGGTAGAGTGTGACAGGGGGAGAGGGAGGGGGTAGGTGACCTCAAGCACAATCAAAAAAGGAAGGTCTTTAGGTGGGATTTGAAAGTAGGGAGGGAGGAGGCAAGGCTGAGGGATTGAGTGAGAGTTCCAGAGTTTTGGAGTGTAGTGGCTGAAGACATGGCCACCGATAGTATATTGCATATTGATAGCAAAGAATTGTACAATACATCCAAAAACGTACTGCATAAAGCACACAAAACTAAGATTCTGATTATTGTCAACGAGATTGTTCGCCCACAAATATACAGTCAATTCACTTTACAGTGTGTTCTGTGAAGCGCTTTGGGACGTCCTCCTGACGTGAAAAGCGCTATATCAAATGCAAGGATTATTATTATTATTATTATTATTATGAAAGAAAAGGAATAATGAATTTGTGTTTAATGTTTGTGAAGAATGTACACAATCCGTGATTAATGCTGTGGTTCATTATATGTAGGCAGTCATGCTTTGTATATCAGTAAGTACACATCCATATGCATCAGACACACAAACAACTGCCTGTAGAGGAGTGGAGAACATACTGAATAGAAATGCTGGCAATTAAGCCACTTTAGAGTGAGTGGCTGCATCACGACACAAAAATTTCTGGGCAACTTTGCATAATGTGTTTTACAGTGTGACTTCCACGGCTGAATCACAGAACAGATAATAGGCAATTACTTCCTCTGAAAACGTTGCTAATTGTGTTACAAGTAAACCACAACTGAGCTCTACAAATATGCCTAATAAAATATTTTCTACAGAATTGCAGGGCACTTTATTAATCCACAAACTAACACCTTTAACTGTATACGGGCTACATAAAATCTGACCTTCCTGTTTAAGTCATCTGTATTTCATATCCATATTTCAGTACATGTCTTGCCGGTGCATATTTAAGCCTTCCATCTAGACCTTGACCAAGTCTCTTTCTACCATCTCCGCAATATCCCCCACCTCTACCGTTATCTTAACATTAATATGGCCAAAATCTTCATCCACTCCTTTGTCATCTCCAGATTTAACTTCTCCAATTTCTCATCAGTGTTCTTCCTAGCTCAACCCACTACAAGCTGCAGATCATCCAAAACTCTACAGACCATATCCTTTCCCAAAAGAAGGTTTGTGAGCCTATCACCCCTTCCTAACCCGATTCAAATGGCTTCCTATCCCCCAGCAAATTTACTCTAAGATCCTTGCTCTAACTTTCAAATACTCCACGCATTTCTGTGATTTCCCCACCCCACTTCTGTGGTTCCATTCCTCTCCCACTTCTTCTGATTCTAGGGCGGGTTCCATTAAATAATAGGGGCATGGGAAGCCTGCACGAACACTGCAACATGTAGGAAGTGACTATAACAGTGACCTGGTGACTAGAAAATTGGCCATTTTTCCTGCTTTTTTATATCATGGAGCCTAAGGCTTCCGATGCCTGGTTGGAGATCAGATAGGATTGACATCTGAGTAGAGTTTGAATGAGTTGGGGTGAGGTACATTCCAGATTTATAAATCCTTCAGACAGCAATTGAGACCCCAAAGAGTGATTTGTGAGAGAGAACTTATCGAAGCCCACACAAGGCAGGCATTGTGATTGCCCTGAAATACAATACAATACAAAATTACATTTGTAAAGTGTATTTCATGTTGGGAGGATGTCCCAAGGTGTTGAACAGTCAGGGACTAGAACCAGAGCAGCGGGGATGGGTGGGGGGAGGGAAGGGGGAGTGTTGGGATCAGGAAGAGTGGAGGGCAGAGAGGCTAGGAGGGTGGCCAAAGGAACGGTTGAAGCGG